TGCCTTCAGCACTTTGATCTTATCTGTAGTACAAGTAAACTATATCGTTTTCACCGAAAAATCATTAAATTCTAAACAAGTTTCTAATAGAATCATAAACATTTATTGTATCATAGTTTGAAGACTTTTCTGTTGAAAACGTGTCAGAGTTAAATCGAATTCATATACATGCACAGTGCGTAACTGGAGTGCATGTAATAGTTCCCAACACTCCAGAGCATGCCCATTGATGTACTCATTCTTTTTTTTTTTTGGGGGGGGGGGGGGGGGGGGGGGGGGGGTGCTTTTTGTGGAATACGATAGAAATGCCATATTCAGAAGCTGGTTCATAGGTTTTTTCTGGGATTTCATATTGTTACAACAGCTAGGGAACGTGCATTTAATTTTGCCTATGGTATGAACATGATTAATTTGGGGGGTTGGGGGAAAGGGTAAAGTAAGGGTCCCTAATCAAAGAAAAACCTACCTAACGCACTCATTACTTTTCAAAAGAGGCCGGGTTTGTGGGCCAAAAAAACAAATTTTTGGGAAAGGGGGGGATCTGGGTTCTTACTCCACCATAAAAAAATGAAGAGGGCGGGCCAAAAAGGGGCCTTTTTCACAGTTTTGGGTTGACGTAACCCATTTTCCCCTTTTCCCAAAAAAAAAACCCCAATCAAATCAAATGAGGGCATGTCATTAACTGTAAATTTGGGTTTAAATAGGGGTTATAGAAAAGCGGTTAAATATTTTTAATTAGTGTAAATTACCTGTCCCTGGGGGTTATGGGGATTAAAAAATCCGATGGCTTTAATTTTTTGCCTTAAAATTTGAAATTTAAACTGAAAAGTTCAATGGAAAAAAAATATTTGCTTACTGTATTAAAATATTTTTCCGGGGTTTTGCCCTTAAAAAGGGTTCCGTTTGGGGGCGGGGGGCTTTTTTAAATTTTTAAAGGGACAACGAAATTGCTACCTTTGGTTTTTTCTTTTAAAAAATTTTTTTTCTTCTTTATAAAAACAGGGAAGGGTTTAGATGTTTGAGAAAAAATTTTTCAAATTAAAATTTTTTTCCCCCTTTTACTTAGGCCAAAAAATGCCGTTGGGGGTAATTTTTTCCATTACCCGGATGAATTTGTTGCGGTAAAACTTCTGAAAAAGGGGTTCTGGGAAAACCCAACCCCTTTAAATTTTTGCTTTCAAAAGGGCTTATGTGAAAATGCTTTTTTCTAGCATTTTGTTTTTTAAAACGGGTTTATTAAAAGGGGTAAGTTTTGGGGTTTTTTAAGTCTCAAACCCCCGTGATTTTTGTGAGGGAAATTTGTTTACTTTTTTTTTTGGGAAACACCAAAAATTACCTGTCGACCTCAGGGGGTGGCCCTTTTTGGGAGATGAAAATTTTAAAAATAAAATTTAAAAATAAAAAATTTTAAAAATTTCGCTGGAATAGGTTTGATCCTTTGGGCAGTTTAAAGGGCCAAATTCTTCGAGGAAACCCCTTTCCCAAATTTGGCCCGGTAATAAAAAACGGGTTTTTAAATAAAACCCCATTTTAGAAAATATAAAATTTTTTAAATTCATCCCGATTTAAAAAGTGAATTAATTTTTAGGGGATATTACCGACGGGGCCAATGGCCCAAATGAAAAGGAGTGCCAGATAAAAATTTTTTTAATTTTGGCAAACCAAATTCAAATTTATTCCTTACTTTACTGCTACAAAAAACTTAAATTTGTATCTATAGGAAACCTTCCCTTGGGCCCGTTCCTGTCTCTTATATTACTGCATTATGGCTAAAAGCTATTCTAGTTTTTTGGATATATTTTTAAAATAAAATTTAAAAATGCCAACAATTAGAAAAAAATCTTTTTGATCATGTCGTTGCATTTATGTGACCTGATTGTAAATAAAAGTATTTGTTGTTGTTATTTAGTCTACATAAACAAATAGATGGAAACAAAAAAGTGTTGTACTCTTAAATTGAATCTAGTTAAGGACTTTATGTATTTTACAAACGAATTGCTCTCTTAAATTTACTTAATGTAAACTATCTATGTGTGATTCAGGTTGACTTGCATTTCTTAAATATTACACATCAAAACAATAGCAACATATTAAGACATATAAGTTTAACAAGAAGCAGTCACAGACTATCTAATCCCCCCGTCTATCAGCAGAAAAGTTATGGAAAAATAGATGCATGTCCTACCACAAAGGGCATAAGGATATTACCATTTCTTCGTAGTAAACCATAATGAGGCAGAGCTCGTTACGATACCGAAATCAACTTTCATTACCGAAAACAAATTACAATTAAACAATTTATTTGAATTACTTTTTAATACTTAATTAATATTGGTTGAATTTAACTCACATGCCAAAAATCATGGACAAAACTAATAAATATTTTTGATGTTAGAGACAAAACATTTTTTTCATGATTACTTTCCCTATTTAATCAAATCTATAATACAATAATCGACGTGTCAAACAAAGATTGAATAATTTATGTGATTTCTGTACGTTTCGATTTTTATTGTTAATAAATATTTAATTGGACAAACAAACTAAGAAAAATGAACAAAACGTTATTGTGATGATCTTAGTGATAAAAATGTTAGCTTATCTTGTTACTTTCAAAGCGAAAATCTATGGCAAATTAACGAAATCAAAACTTATAAGATATAGAGTTAATTTTGGAATGAATTTGATAAAATTAAAGAAAACACAAACAAATATAATGATGGTGTTTGCACATGAATAATTTTAGGACTGCTACTGTATATATAACACATAAAACATGGCTTTGAGGGCAATATGCAAGTTTACGGACTGGTTGGTCAAACTGAGGAAGGTATATGGCCAAAGGTCATGACATCATATCAAATATAGGCGTATGCAAATGAGGTATGATATATATAATATATATAGATATGTCATCTTCATATTTAAATAAGAAATGTAGAATTTTTTTGTGTAATATCTTTCTTATAATAAATTCATGTGAAAAACAATAGCCATTTAATCGAAAAGGTGTAAGAAAGATTTTAACTATAGTTGTTTTATACGCATTCGTTAAAACTCCTGATTTTATGTTATAGTCTGTCGCACCAAATTTGAATATTTCATTTTTCATTAAATAGAATACAATGTAGTAAAATCATTCAAATCAATGTCAATTTAACCCTGATGTCAATATATCTAAGCATATTTTACTTTTCTTTCAAAAAGTCAGCAATATGGTCACACTGTTAAAATTCTATTTTTCCCGTTGACCTACGTTGTAGCCTGACTTGACGTCAATTTCAAAATGAAGGTGCCCACACTGACGTCATTGAGTGTTCGTCTCACAATTAGCGTGAAATGTACCAGGTAATTATAAATATTTGATTATTCTCATTTACCTATCATCATTTAAAAAAAAGAAAAAAAGACACTCTTTTGATTCATATCAAACAAGGTTGTTTTTATGAAATAAGCAAAAATCCACGAAATTGTGTACGAACAAACGTCCAAGACAGTTCTGAGTTGATATGAATCGAAAGAGTATCTTTATTTCTTAAAGTAAGTTTTACATTTATCTTTAACCTTAACTTCCTTTACGAATTATGTGTACTTTAATAACCATGGCAACGCAACATCGACGAACGCCGAAAGTTTCCTTCTATGTTTAAATATAGACAAATGTCGAACTAAATTGAACGGCTATTTCGTCAGGCAAAATCGGGGTCAACATCTTTATATATTTAGTTGACGTAAAACCGAAATTCGACGACATTTGGACGTTGAATGACTAAACAAACAAGTTTTGAGCAGCAGTAGTCAAAAGCGTAAATTGAGCAATAAAATGCACATTTAAAGACTTAAAATTCACATTTTCGGATTATTTTGCCATCTAACTACGAAAACTCTCATTTTCATATGAGGTGGTTAATTTACCAAAGTGCAATGAGTCAGCGAGCACGTCATTAGGTTTTAACTGGAGCAAGCGATCCAAAAGCAGCAAATACATGATCACAGACAGAAAGGGGCAAGGGAGAAAAGGTTGTATTGCCAAGACGTTTGTAACGTCTGTAGCGCCGATATATGTCCAAACGTCGAAAAATGTCCAAACGACGATAAATGTCCAAAAATTGACGATAAATGTCTCAATCGCCGATAAATGTCCAAAGCTCCTTTAATGATAAATGTCCAAAAATTAATGAAAAATGTCGCAACAAATTAGGTGCTCATAAATGTCCAAATCGGTTAACGATAAATGTCTCAACTTTTCATATGTTAATTGCACTTATTTCTATGCTCAACAGTAATGCATCAGCCAGTAAAAAAGGTTTCCATAGGGATTAAAAGTACCGATTTAAGTAGCATTCTCACCAGCATCCCGGCAAAATCCCAGGACCACCCCAGACCATCCGGGATGAAAATATTGTTGCAGTCTCAATAACCCCGGTAGCACTACGGCGATACCCAATTTCCATACTTATAACAACCAGGATGAACTCCGGGCCATCCATGCAGAGTCCAGTTAAAACTACGGATAATGCAGATAGTAAGTGGACGACGGATGACCTAACACGATATTCAAACGCTGTTAAGTCTTCGATAAAAGAGATCATAAAAGCTGAGATCCATGCTAGCACAGCCCCGGATGATGTCGGCAGAGTCCCGGATGATCCCGGCAGAGCCCCGGTACGGTTAGATAGAGTGCCGACAATCACCGGTAGAGCCCCGGCAGAGCCCTTGATCATCCCGGACGTTGCCGACAGAGTTACGGACGTACCCCGATCGTTCCTGAATCACCCGACCGACCACCGGGACTCTAGCGGGGTGCTTGTGAGATTGTTAAAAAAGTTTTAAAAATGTATTTGAAAATAAGTTGATTGTTGGATACAGTCTATCTCCCTTACTATTAAAAGGGGAAAAAATAAGTTAAACCGAGGTGCATTGTACTGGTGCTTTACACCGGGCACTTAAAAGAACCAGGGTCGCCTCTGGAAAGGGGCTTCTTCTGTATCATGACACAGATAACTTACCAAGTGATATCGATACTGCCAATGATAATTTGGATAACAATGACACGGAGAACTTACCAAGTGATATCGATACTGCAAATGGCAATTTGGATAACAATGACACGGAGAACTTACCAAGTAATATCGATACTGCAAATGACAATAATTTGGATAACAATGACACGGAGAACTTACCAAGTGATATCGATACTGCAAATGGCAATTTGGATAACAATGACACGGAGAACTTATCAAGTGATATCGATACTGCAAATGACAATAATTTGGATAACAATGACATGGAGAACTTACCAAGTGATATCGATACTGCCAATGACAATAATTTGGATAACAATGACACGGACAACTTACCAAGTGATATCGATACTGCCAATGACAATAATTTGGATAACAATGACATGGAGAACTTACCAAGTGATATCGATACTGCCAATGACAATAATTTGGATAAAAATGACACGGAGAACTTACCAAGTGATATCGATACTGCCAATGACAATAATTTGGATAACAATGACACGGAGAACTTACCAAGTGATATCGATACTGCCAATGACAATAATTTGGATAACAATGGCACGGAGAACTTACCAAGTGATATCGATACTGCCAATGACAATAATTTGGATAACAATGACACTGAGAACTTACCAAGTGATGCCAATGACAATAATTTGGATAACAATGACATGGAGAACTTACCAAGTGATATCGATACTGCCAATGACAATAATTTGGATAACAATGACACGGAGAACTTACCAAGTGATATCGATACTGCCATGATAGTGTTAGCGTTACTACCAATGACTTGAATAACGATGTTATTTCTCTGCGCTCACTTGTCGAAAATATTCGACGTCGACGAAGACCGATTACACCGCAATCGTTCATATTTACATATCTACCACTACTTATACAAGATAGTGCGATACTGTATAAACGAAAATCCGGCAATGAGATACGTCTTAAGCAGATGTCATCTTAGTAGTGTTGTGCATTTATATGACATTTACCTACCTAGAATTTACATTTCACCTGATAAATATGGAGGGCGATCGTTGCCAAAATTCCAGACATGTAATGTGTTCCTTTTGAAAACTTCTTTTGAAAATGTGAACGTGTATGTCTAGCATTTTTGATTGTATTCGTACACAGCAAATGATATCTTCTTAATCCAATCTTTTAATTGAAGGCACCCGCTTTTTAATAACAAGTTTACATGTAAATCTTAACAACTGAACTAACACCGAGAACAACAACAAATTTACAAGTTCGTATCTTCCATTGCATATAATACATAAGCATGTTTGCGCACTTGAAGATATCTATATGTACCTGAAAAATACAAATGAAATGTAAAACTCGAATACAGAAAATAGAATTTAATAAAACATGTTTCCAGTCGTAGAACTACAACAGTACGTTTACACAGTAACATGTTTAAAATGACAAAAGTAGATTCACAAAGTTAAACGATTTTAAGTCATGAATGACGCCCCGCGCCTCTCTTAGTATTTACGATCTTTTATTACGGAAATGAACGGACAGGTATAATACCCGTCGCATCTCTCCTATTTCTCAATGAAGAGAAGGAAAACACGGCGTCCATTCCAACTTCTTTTTATTTCTATAAAAACTCAAATATTTTTGGTATCAAATGAAAGATTACTACATAAGCTTTCTATGAGTGCCTCAGAAATAAAAATGAATTAAACAGATGTATTGAAATTTTTGTTTCAAAATTTATCATTTTTTCCTTTTGAAAATAACACTTTCGAATTGGTAAAAAAAACACAGCGTTCCCTCCAAACTTTTTTTTATTTCGTAATCAATTTTGATAATTTTGGATTGAAATAAAAGTGTGCTTCTTACGATTTATATAATGCCTAAAATAAAAATGAATTAAATCAAAATGAATTTAAATTTTCGTTTAAAAGTTTATCATGTTACTTTCTGTAAAATTGAGAAAATAAGAATCCCTAAAGAACGCTCAAAACGACAAAATTGAGAATGTTGCAGGTTCGGTTTGATTGAGCCTGTTCATAGACGGTAATGGAAAGCGCAACCCCCTAGCACCGGCTTAAGCAAAATTCAACATGAACTGGTACAATTTTGAATTTTGAAACATCCGCAGATGTGTTAATATGGCGATTATCATGGAAACTTCAACGTGACATTCCATGAAAAACGGCATATGGTCCCCAAGTAAAAAAAAACAAAACACACTCTGAAATTCAGAAAGAGAAACATGGAGCCCCCTACTTACTTTTTTATTTCTTGGTCAATTTTGATAATTTTAGACTCAAGTAAAAGAATCCTTCATGAATTTTCTAGTGATGCCCTAAAAATGAAAATTTATAACGTAGAAGTATTAAAATTTTTGTTTCAAACTTATCGTTGTTTATTTTTTCTCCCTTAAAACCACACTCATATATTCGGAAAGAAAAACACGTCCCTTCCTTTAGATCATTTATTCAAAAAAGAAAATGAATATTGAATGAAAGTAAAGACCATAAGCTTTAAACAAGTTGCTAAAATATCTGGAAACAAAGTGATCCCTCGGAAGAATTAATCACAACATAATTACATAACAATTGCAGTTCGGTTTGATTGAGTCTGTACATGAGGAATAATGAACAAGTGCAACATCCCACAGTCCCCTAGCACCGACTTGAGCGGTACTCAATTCTCAACACTTAATAGCGCTGGCATTAATGATCCCGGAGGTCCAGAAAAATATAACAACACTAAAGTGAAGTACGGGGCAACTTTGTACAGCTGCCACACATCACTTGACACCTGCTGTTGTGAAGTATAAAAATCTGGAAACAAAGTGATCCCTCGGAAGCATTAATCACAACAATATTACATAAGAATTGCAGACTCGGTTTGATTGAGTCTGTACATGAGAAATAATGAACAAGCGCAAAAAGTTTTTATTTATACTGAAAATACCTTATTAAAGATTGTACATATGTGCTACGGATAAGTATTTTCTTGATTTTGGAAAGGAAATCTCGGTGGCCTTTTTAAAATCCTATTTTTGCAAATACTTGCATAGTTTTTGTTGAAAATGAAATTTGTGCCAATACATTTTTCAATGATACCAATAAAAATATTGGATGGTTTTTAGATTATCAATAAAATTACTCCCTTAAAGTTAGTCATTGTTTCCCCTAAAAATTTCCAAATCGCCGATGTTTCTCAGGAAAACACGATGTTAAATAAAAAGTTAATGCATAAGTTATCTTCATCATAAATGGTAAAATCAGCAATTTTCAAGTGATGTTGCTAGTGACGTGACAAAACTTTTGTAACAAATGTAACAAATATATGTTATGAAAAATGCGGTATGTTGTCCTGAAGTTTTATTTAGAAAAATGGGAGAGGCGCCGTTTTATACCTGTCCGCAATAGAAGTTCGTAAATACTCCGAGAGGGGCGGGGCGTTATGCTTGACTTAAAATCGCTTAACTTTGTGAATCTACTTTTGTCATTTTAAACATGTTACTGTGTTAACGTACTCTTGTAGCTCTACAACTGGTAACACGTTTTCTTTAACTCTATTTTCTGTATTTAAGATTTACATTTCATTTGTATATTTCATATCTATAAGTGTGCACACATGCATATGTATTGCATGCAATGGAACTAGTAAATTTGTTGTCGTTTAAGATGTTAGGTCATTTGTTACTATCTATATGTAAACTTGTTATATAAAGGCGGGAACCTTCAATTAAAAGATTGAATTAAGAGGCATATCATGTGCTATGCACGGGTACAATAAAAAATGGTAGGCATACAAGTTTGCATTTTCAAAAGTCATTTTTGAAAAGGAACACTTTACATGTCTGGAAATTTGGCAACGAACGCCCTCCATAGATATAATGCAGGATGTGCCGAATGTTGTAAGCGTGAGACGACTTTTGCTGAATTTTGGTCGGTTCAGTGGCCTAATATTAGAAATCCGCAATATTATAAGAGAATCTAGATGGGCCAATGCTTGGTTGCACCTTCGGTTATGTACTGATGCCCTTTGTTGGTACGAGATTGCAGATATATGGTACAGAAGACCGTAAGAAATGGCATCTGTTGAAACCAAGACATAACCAAGTGTAAACCAGTTAATTTATGTGTAAAAACAGTTTAAAGATGAAAATATTCATTGACAAATTGTGATAATTTCAAAATAACGTTTGTCGAATGGAGAATAAATGTTAAAAGTTTTTGTCAACAGATTAAAATAAATATTACACAGTATTCGAATAGTAACATTATAATTGCTATATGATGGTGTCATTTAAACATTTATATTATTATACCTCAATATATCCTTCAATGTAAAACTCCCATAGGGCTACAATATGTTCTGATCGAATATCACCCTCCCGGGGAATATTTCTTATATCACCTTGGAGCACAAAACTCTTACATAACTCATTCATGAAGCGATAATGCCTTAGTACCCAGTTAGCATAATATTATTTATTTCCTAGTCTGTCTGTCTGTCTGTCTGTCTGTCTCTTGTTTTTATCTATATACATTATACTATTTTTGTGTATATCGAACATTTACAGATCAAAATCGCTATAATTGTGAAGTGATAATCTGTATTTTCTTTCAGGCAAAGACTGCTGACCTAAGGTTTTTTTTTCGGTATAATAAAATAAATAACACCAAGTTGTCGGGTGATAGAGGATATTGCCAGCCCTTGAACTGGCATATTACCCTCGGCTGCGCCTCGGTGTAATATACCAGTTCTCTTGTTGACAATATCCTCTATCACCCCGACAGTCATGTGTTAATTATATATTATTATACCTCAATATATCCTTCAATATAAAACTCCCATTGGCCTACAATGTGTTCTGATCGAATATCACCCTCCTAGAATATCAGGGCTGGGAATCAAAACTGCGTCGTATCCTACAAAATGTAAACAAACGCCGCCATCTTGGAACGAAAAATGTATGTTTTTGTTTATAACTTATTTTGTTGGAAATGACTGAAAACCAGATATATGTATTAACACGCTACACTATTTTTCGCTTCGTTCGGTATATGTGGCTTGCACAACTATTTTGTAAAACAAAAGTTATAGCGAACTTGCAACTCGAAGCGGGGCAGAATTTTTATGAAAATGTGTGGATACGACGCAGTTCATATTGCTTTATCTATCGTTTTTCCTTCAAATCAATTATATACTCATTTTCAGACTTCACCATAAACTTCAAAACATGATTTTGCATCATTTACTAAACTTTCATTAAATAGAGATGTTTATTTCCCAAGAAAATAATGATTTTTACGAAATGATACGACGCAGTTGAAAATAAAATATGATACGACGCAGTTGTATTTTCATTGCAGGCTGCATATTGGTTAAACTATTTAGATTATGTACCACGTATGCTTATAACGTTTGGAACAACTTTCCTTGTTTACAACTTAAGTCAAAAGCAGAGGTCACTCATTGGTTCCATACAAATGGAAATGTAATACAATTCTATTAAGGCTGCATTTTTCGGTCGCATTTTAGTACCTATCATAAGCATCTACAAATTCCGAAAAGCTGTATCAAATGCAATATACATTGAAACACGTGATCGCACACCCATATGACAACGTGTTCCAGTATTTTGATACAAAATTCAATATCCAGTGTAACCTCTCCTGGACCCTGTATTAATCAGGAATGACCTTTTTTAAAAAAGAGAAAGAACCTTTTTTTTAAAAAAAGAGAAAGAATAACAAATTCTGAAAAGGTCTCTTGCTATCGGAAGAGAGCTATGCGCAAATTGCATGCTTACATT